ATCTTGGCCTTTTCTTTGTAAAATTAAGTCTCATTCTCATAGAGAATTGGAATAAATCAGTTAATATATCCCTTAAATATTCTCTGTGTTTTTCAGTATTTAGTGCCTCCAGCTTTCTTACAGATAATGAAACCAGCTCTCTAAATTTGTTCTCAAAAGCAAATAGATGATAATTTTTTTATGTGGAAATTCTGGGAAGAAAATAAATTGAGGCACTAAAGAATAGGGTAAATGGCAACCTTCAACAATAAAGGTTAGATTTAATCCAAGCAGGCATCTGACAAGCTGCTGTACACGTTGAATCCATATCAGTGTGACCCTACCACAGACCTCCTTTATCCATTAATCTACACTTCTTTTAGCAGAGAGTTGAATTAGCTCACTGACAGGGCACTGCCTGCTGATTAGCGTACATCATTCTATAGAGCAGAAATAAAAGAATCACCCTCCTTCATTTAACTCCTCTGTCCTACAAAATGGTGCTAATTTTCCATCTTTCCAAAAGCAACAAGTTCGTATTTAGGTTACACTGAGGCTCTGGCTTCATTATTGACATTTTTCAAACAATTTCATCCAGACCATGTACAGGGGAAAAGAGAGCTTCACATTTGTGAGTGTGTGTGTGTGTGTGTGTGTGTGTAAATCTGGCTAAGTGTAAGTTGGGCACGATGTTTAACAGTCCTATTTGAATAAATTGAAGAAAATCAAATATGTTTCTACTAATAAATTGCTGTTGTTTTTCCTCCCCAAAAAATCAAAGTAAAAAATATTTACTGTAGTATAGTGACTGGTAGTGGTTTTAAATCTTTATTATTTAAAAGAAAGGTAGGTAAAGGGTTGTTTTGAAACACATTTCTAAAATATCACTGATAAACATAATTTATTTTGCCTGGCTTTCATTGAAAATGTCTGTATCATCAGAACTATGCTGAGGTAATGATCATAGCTATACTTTTTAAAATAAAATGAAACACCACTTAGCCACCAAAATACTTTAAAACATGAAGTAAAAGTAAAATTATTTGATTTAGATCAATTTGGTAATAAAGATACAAAACACGTTAGATAAAATAATTTCTATGACACGAAACAAGTATGCATTTTAAATATTATTTTGAGAAATCATGCATTTTGGACAAAGTAAATTCAACTACTATCTATCATTAAATGCATTTAAATGTTAAACCTAATGCGGCTCATACTATATCATGTCACTTTCACTGCTAATCACACAATTTCCTATAATTTTTTATGCACTTGGCTGGCAGAGAAATGACCTCTAAAGTCACTAGTTAAGTAATAAATTTTATGTATCATTCTTTTGTTAATAAAGTATTTCAAGCTGTGACTTCTTAATTGGATTAAATGCCCATTTTGTGTTTCTATCAATCAATATTTATTTACAAACTGAATTTGGAGTTTGCAGACATGAGAGGAGGTAAAGAGAATTGCTCAGATATCTCTGAAAGACAGTGAATTTAGACAGGTTAGATGATTGTGGACTATATTATCCCACCTGATAACATTAAGTCTTTGGTTTGCACGCTATTATTTTCACAAACGCTAGTTCATAAAGAAAACAGTATTTCTAAGATGAGAGTATAGTTTTAGCGAACACTGCTTTGCCAGTTATACAGTCTCACTGGGAAGTACTGCCTTCTATAGGTAGTATTTTCAGCAATGACGTACAATTGTGGCCCCTTTTCTCTGTGCCAAAGCATGCAAAATATTCAAGAATGGCCTATTCAGAAGAAGGAGCAGGTAAATTCTTTTTAAATCTTACCATCTATATTAAAGGACCCTTTACAACTCCATATATGCTTCAGTTTGATGTTTTGAACCAAATGAGACGACGGCAAAATCGGAAAGGAAAAATAGCACTGAAGTGCATCTTGCCCCTTAAATCTCATGCTAGAAACAGGAGCAAAATTAACGCGCTGGAGCCATCTTCTGACTGCATGGAACTGCGGCATCTCACAATGGACGCTGCGTTAATAAGTTAGGTGGCCAGGATCTTGCCACAGACACATCAGGTTTTTATATCCTGTTTCTTTTCCCTAATGATCTGCCTTAATATGTACTACACTTTGATTCTCTTCTGTCTGCTTTCCCTCTTTTCGAAAAGAAACAATGCAATTATTTGGATTTGGGTTTCATTTGTGACAGTCTTTAAAAGAAAGAGCTGTCTGTGTCTACACAGGTAAAAAGATCCAGTGAGAGGAGGCAATTACCCAGAATTTCAGGCCACAAATTTTGCAAAGACAATGAAATCCAAATCTGCTGTTTGGAGGGCAGAGAGTCCATCTAAGGGACCCAGACTGAAAGATTTCTAACTAATTGCTTTATCGAAGAAAAAAACTTACTAAGGAAACAAGTCTTATTTTAGGCTATTCTTTCTACTGTAGAGAATGTCATTTTCAGATGTGTTTAAGAGTCATTGAAATGTGTGTGCAGTAAAAAGCACAAAGAAGTACGTGCACTGTGCACCAAAGTTAAAAAG